ATTTATTTATTTATTTATGACATAATTGAAATTGATTATTAAACAGTATTCACTACAGCTGGATTTCACTGGCCCACCACATTCTTATGAACATTATTTATTAAAGTTATGATTTCATTGACTTAAATATAATTAACTATGTATAATATAATTACTAGGCTAACCCGTCGTCTAAAATCTTAGAATAATAAAATAGCCTGTTATTTTATTCGTGGCTAGAGCTTGATTAATTAGATTGACATCCTAGGCAATGAGACCTTTACTTTGCCTGACTTGAGTGTGAGTTTATTGCATGCAGAGCTGTATTTGGTAGCACATAGCCTAAACTCACCCTGATGCGGGTGAAAACTTTATCAACAGCTACATGCACAACTGCAGTGGTTCTCAAACTTTTTTCATCAAGTACCACCTCAGAAAACAATTGTCTCTCCAAGTACCACCAAAATGAGCAGTATTGAAATACAGCAGCGGGCCCAGTAAAGCAGCTACAGCTCTGCACAGTAAAAAAACGTGACAGATTACCTCAGAAATATAGGCTATATGGCACATTCACATATTTTTTGATAGATTTTGAAATATATGTAGCATGTACATGACTTATTTCATTCCTCAGTGTACCAGTAGAGGGAAGCCCGCGTACCAGTGGTGGTTTGAGAACCACTGCACTACTGAAAGACTTTTTTTCTGGTGTGCATCGAATAAAGAAATGCCACAGTCCACAACATCTTATATCCATGCACTAACTTGCAGACTCTTTGAACAACAAGGAAATAACTGCACTTTTTAATTCAAAGCCCAGACGGCTTGTTTGTTATTGATTGGTGGCTATACCATGAAGGAAGGTTACGGTGTGTTGTGATGTCGGTCGTCGCTGGAGAAAGTCAAATCTTTAATTTTTTGGTCTTTTGTTTGGCTTTTGTTTAATTTTTTTGCTTTAGTGGCACTGTAGCTGTCCAAGGTACTGTTGTATGATTTAAAGTATAGCCTATATATGCATCAATAAACAAGTCAAAGGAATGAATAAATGAATAAATAAAATAAATATGAATTCTTAAATGTCGATATTGTTTTTACAAAAACAAACAAAAAACAAAAACAAATGTTTTATGAAAATTAAATGAGCAATTTTCAACATTTATACGATTCAGTTAAATATAAGTTGGACATTTATGGGGCCATGTAGCATGTTTCTGAGTTTTTTTTTTTTTTTTTGTTCTCAGAAATCTTTATATATATACTGGGTGGCTATGCAAAATATTTTCTAAAATGTCAAGCAGGAATTTATATGCTTTGATATAAATATGCTTTATATCCTGATATGCTGTTGTTTGATATTCGTTTTTATTTCACTTAATGCATTCGTTATTTAATGTTTGAATACTGAAAGAAATAACAGCCTTTGTTTAAAGGGTTATTTTACCATCAAAATGTATATCTTATATCATTATCAACTTTTAAAATAAAACCGCTGTGTAATTTATTGATTGTCAAAAATTAAATAATTAAAGTGCTATATTTTTCATTAGTAAAAATGCCCGCTCACTTTTCACAAGGCCTGTCTAAAAATATATTTCTGCCACTATAATTTAAATGCACTAATACTGTTGCATTATCATTGTTTATTTTTCTGTTATGTATAAAGATTTTAAATATATTTATTTTCCCTTCCATCATTTTCAATCATCATGTTACATTTTGGTCATTTTCCTTCCAAATAAAATTTATTTGTTGTCTGGCCCGGTTTGGCAGGTAACGTAATGGTTCAGCATAAAAAACGGCCTAGCACGATAGTGGAAACGTGGATTTTAAAGAAACAAACTATATACAAAATTTATCTCAAAAAGATGTTTTTCTTGAGAAAAATATACAAATTTATTTTAGTTTGAGCTCAACTGTGTGGATGGATGATTTTGGGTCAGTGGTAAGTAAGGATTTAATTACAATAGTGAGGCATTATCACAATGACACACACTTGCAATTTTTTAATATGTAATAATTTTAAAGATTACGTCTTGCGTCTGATTTTTCCTTGATGCTGTTGTGCTTTTTCAACGAAATATTAAAATTAAAAAGGAAACAAATTATTTCATAACGAAACGTAGCCTTTAAAAGTAAGCAACAGTGTTTCTAGACATGATTGGATTAAGGGGGCGGGGCGGTGCTGGATTTGTGCGTACCTTGTAATAAAATCCTGCAGGTGCTCCTGCTAGCCTGTATGTAGTTATAACTGTTTCAAACTTATTAAAACTACCTCAATTATTTAAACTTTAAAACAATTTAAAACTTTCAGACGAGGCTTTCTCAAGACACCATAGTTTGTCTACGAACTTGACTTTTCCAGTTTTGTGTGTTATCATAAGTCATGGGTCTCAAACTCGATTCCTGAAGGGCCACAGCTCTGCTCCAACCCAAATCAAACACAGCTGATCCAACTAAACAAGCTGTTCCAGACTCGTTTGAACACCTTGATTAAATGGATCAGCTGTGTTTGATAAGGGTTAAAGTAAAATTGTTTTCAAAGCTGCAGCCCTCCAGAAATCGAGTTTGAGACCCACGCTGTAAGTAGTAAGTTACTTTAGTAGTAAAGTTTTGTTTATTTCTCTGCTTGTGGGAAAGCTGTTTGCGATGAGAATGACTCATATATCTCACATTGATGTATATCAGTAATGTGCGGTGAGGTTTGTGGCTGGTGAGGCACTCTTTTAGAGTCATGAATCAGATTTATTGATTGTGTTTTATATCAGCATTCTTTGTAGACACATGGCAGGTACATCTTGGGCCAAGGAAAAGTGTAAAATGTATTGCACGATCATAAGAACCCTTCCCCTAGTCTTCACTTCGTGCGATCATAAGCACCTCCTCCAACCCTCTTCACGCAATTAAACCTTAACTCTTGCGGGTAGGCCCATGCATTTTGTGCTATGCCACAGCACACACACACACACAGCAACCACTGCGGATGCGCTCTCTCTCTCTCTCTCATACACACACACGATTCGCTCACTGTTCTTACCTACAGTACTTGTAAATAGAGTCTTGAAATGACTTGAACTAGTTTAAAATGGACGCGTTCTCTTCTGTCCCGTCCTTTGAAGCAATTCCTTTAGCTCCGGCATTGGTCGTCCATTATTTATCCACGTTTTGATTAAAAGTCCAATTTTGAGAAATTCTTGAGCTGATATCCGTAATTTTTGCAGTCAGTTGAAGCAAAATATAAGAGCAACAACTGAACAAGAATAACCGTATAGCTCACATGCACCCTATTCATTGCGGCAGAGCTACTGCCTGCCTCACCTCATGTCTTTTCATTGGCGATTCTAGTTTAAATGGCACCCTGAGCGAACCACCCCAAATACACCCTCTCCCCAAGAAATAAAAGTTATTACTGGGGCACTTTTTTTCCGTCTCTCTGTGCTGCCCCCAGCGAGATGCCGCCTTGTGTGATCGCCCATGCCCAAATCCGCCACTGCGGCTTTATGACAGATCTTAACACTAAATAAGTGATAGACATACGTGAAATACAATACCTATAATATGGAAAGTGAGGGCATATAATAAAAAAAGTCTACAATGTATTAAAGCATTTTAATAAAGCATTACATCGGTAGCACACTGAGTGAGCAAAAGGCAGGCGCTCAAGCCAGTTTGCAAGGGATTGCGCAATCTGATGTGAGGCACAGCTCGGTGCTACCTCAGCTTACTTCCTATGCCGTAAATGAACAGAAGATATGGAAAATACAAGCAAAAGTAATTATAAAAAATGATTGCAATCATTTGAATCATACAGAAATTGCATTTATAGCACAGATCAGAGGACAAATATTTATGTTATCATTAGTAAACATATCATAATGGCAGGTGAAAATGGTGTATGTAACTTTTTAAATACATTTAAATATGGTAGTTTACTGTGATTTCCCAGAGATTGGTTGCGGCTGGAAGGGCATCCGCTGCAGAAAAACTTGCTGGATAAGTTGGCAGTTCATTCCGCTGTGGCGACCCCGGATTAATAAAGGGACTAAGCCAAAAGGAAAATGAATGAATGAGTTTACTGTGAATTTGTTTCTACTGAATATTTAACTGTAAATTTCTGGCAACCTCAGAATTTCAATTGAACAGATTTTTATTTTTTTAGTGAAAAAACATCCCTGCGACATTCTGGAAAAGTTTGTGTTTGGTTACCAAAAAAAGAAGGAAAAGAGCCGATTTAGCATACTAAAATAATTAACAAAATATAGGCAGAAGAAAACCAGTCATTTTGTGTGCTGGTGAGTACATTTTGCAACACATAGCTGTTATAATTTCTTCCAAATTAATTTAAAATTATTTCAGCCAAAAATTTAAATAGTCAACACCTCTTCATTTGGAGCACAAATAAAGATATTTTTGTTGAAATCTGAGAGCTCTCTCATCCTCTATAGATAGCGTCTGTTCACATTAGGATCACCAGCACAAGAGTTTTCGTTGGAACTTCATCAAGCATAGGCTGGCTTAAAACAAGCTGTGTTTGTGACAGGGCTCGAGATTAAACAACATGGGTCACGTCATCAGAAAATGAGTTACTCTTAATTGTGTATTTAATTGGAGGTAATTTGCAACACACAAATGCTTGGCATAAAGAAATCCATTCATCACACTTCTCTGCACCACAGATATTGCATAATACTATTAACCACGATAATTAGCATTTTGTGCGTCTTTTAAAATTTCATAAAAGACATATTTTATTTGTATGCCAGTATGTTTATCTGGCACTTTTGGAAAATGTTATCAATTACTACGTGTTTTTGTCATTATCAAGTAAAACAAAATAGAAGCAATTTAAAAATGATTTTTGATCAGTGTTCTTTGTGCCTTTAAAAGATCAAAATAACATGTACATGTAAACATCTTAAATATATAACTGTTTGTAATAATTTTGAGCATCTCTAGAAAAACACCCACTTTAAACACAATGTAAAAATATCTGCATTAGTGTAGATGAAGACATCGGCCCAAAATGGGATCCTACAAAGTGCTCTTAATTGGGAACACCTTAATTTATTCTTTTTATATACCACTTCAGGTCGACAAAAAATACACGTTTTATTTACAAGGGGTATTATGTAACATATAACAGGATAGAAAAAGACATACAAAAAAACAAACAAAATTAGGAAAAACCACCCAGTTGACAAACAAACAAACTGAAGGTTGATTATTGCGTGTCAAAAGACTCGGATTGCATTACTGCAGGTTGGAGGAGTAAATCTACATCTCCGGGCTCTCTGAACTCCCAGAATTCACCGTGAGCCCTACGCTCACATTGCTTGCTTTAGTATGCATGTGTATGTGTTTATATCTTGAGGTTGCTGGCTGGAAGACTGCTCTTATCCAAATCGTCAAAATACGGATGTGTCATTGCTTGTCGTGCCGAAATCCTCTTAGGGGGGTCATAAATCAGCATTTTCTAAACAAAGGAGAAAATGAAAATACGTGAGTGAGATGAACACAAAGAAACAAGTAGGACACAAGCATATCAGGACAGTCCTTTACCATGAGAAGGTCGATGCCGTTCTTGTCCAGGTTTTTCACAGTGTTGGCCAGATTCCCAGATTTCCACTTTGGGAAGGTATTCTTATAGTCTGGCAGAGACTCAACATCTGGCCAGACCTCATTGTTAGGGGTCCCCAGAGTCCTAAAACACCGATCAACCACAGAGAGGGAAGACAAAAAAAGAAAAATACTATATTTTTAGTGAAATGTTTGCATTCCAGTTTACAAAACTACATTAAAGCCATATTTTATTTGTATGCCAGTAAGTCCATATGAACCAGAAGCTGCAATCATATTTTTGTTTTCAAGAGTTCACACTTAGATATTGTTTGACAATGATAGCAGGTTTGGCATGCTGTCCCAGGAAAGAACCCTGAGCTCAGCAATAACTGAGCCCAGGGCTCCCGCCTGGTCGATAGAGCATGTAAGGGGAGTACGAGATCAGGTGGTTCTCGATAGCTCCCCGTGGTAAAGGAGGAAAGGGGGAGAAGGGGTGGATGGGGGGGGGGTTTCTTTGGAAAACGAAGATAAGGAAGTATTTTTTTGCTGGCCTACTTATAGTAAGTTTGGATTAATCTGATTTGCTAACTAATGATTGTAGATGAGAGACCAGCTGCGATCAATCACATCACGTGCTCCTCTCGAAATTTGTTTGTGAAACTTCACTTATTGTTGCTTCAAGCGGAGTAGATGAAATAAAATAAGCATTTCATACAGAAAGATCTGGAAATGGGTTTTAGAAGAGTTATTACTACCTAACAGACACCTCATCCTCACCATTTGTTGTCAAAACTGACAGTTGGAGCAGCGTGGTTAAAGCTATGCCCAATACTTAAGATATATATAATCAGACAATTTAACTGAAGAGAAGAGAAAAAAAAAGAAAAACGAAGTGCATTTTTAGATTTTAATTAAAGATAAGGTCAAACTATTTTTTTTTAATAATGATATGCACAGATTAACTGTTCACTACAAAACTTGCAATGTGAGCTAACAAAGTCATATGGTTAGTTTCGATTTCTAGTGGACTTCTGGAAAATGCTATTATTTGTTATTTGCTATTGTCATATTGACTATATTAAGTTAAAATGATTATTGATCAGTGTTCTTAGTGTCAAATATCAAAATAATATGTGCATGTAGATAAATATTTGTTGATTTTTAATGCCATGTAAGCTTGGTCCAGTTTCATTGACAAAAAAAAAAAAAAAAAAAAAAACCAAATAGACCCATTTTGGGATTTTACTTTTTTTTCCCTCTAAAAACTCTTAGCAAAATACAACTACAACAACAACTACTACAAATGATAATAATAAAACCTCCTAAAAAGTCCTACAAAGAATCAGAGGAGGTTTATTGGAACTAGTGTATGTTGCTTCAGGAAAGGAACTACACATTAGTGTTGCATTTTATTTTCTTTCTTTTATTTTCAATTTTATTTTTATTTATACATTATTTTAAGTAAATCATCTATGATTATCTGTCATTTAGATATGTCATTTGATTATTTTATCATTAATCGTCCATTAGTTCATGATTTAATTTTAGCTATTTGGTTATTTGTTAATGTTAACATTTTTAATATTGTTACCATTTCTTTATTGTTACTTTATCATTTTATAAATTTTCTCTTACTGTTATAATTTCCCCTTTTATAAAATTACTAATATATTCCCTTACTTATTATTGTTTTCATGAGTAAGAGAGAAAAGAGAATGTCTATTTCAAGGTTTTCAAACATGTTCACACGTGCGCTAATACAACAATTATATTATCATAGAGAATACATGTTGTACTATAAATACAATATTGTACCCTAATGTCTGTGCAGTTTAACACGAGCAAATAAGTTTGTTACCAAGTACAGCCCTAATTGACCTTTTCAAACTTCTTTTATACTTTTAAAACTCTGTTAAAAAAAAATAAAATAAAAAATAAATAAATAAATAAATGTCAACACTGATTCCTGAACTTTGTCTACCTGAAGATCCTAAAGAGTTGGTCTATTTCGGAGTCTCCATGGAAGAGAGGTTTCTTGGTGGCGAGTTCAGCAAAGATGGTGCCAATACTCCAGAGATCTACAGGTGTGGAATAGCGTGAAGCCCCCAGCAGCACTTCTGGAGCTCTGTACCACAGAGTGACCACCTGCACAATCATAATCATGCGCACACACGTCAGCATTAGTGATTATAACATTTTGAGCAAGTATCATCAACTGGTATTAGGCTTCTGCCAGTATCAAATTTTCTTGTTGCGATTAACTGCTGAAGCTGTATCATGATAGACCAAAGCTGTAAAAAAGTACTTCTAACAGCTATAACAAAAAAATAATAATTGTGTATTGTATATTCATATTTAAAATAAACACCCTAAATTGCTAAATTATTATAAAGTGACGATAAAACACTTTACACATTGCGTTAGTAAAAGCTAGTTAATGAGAGAGACTGTGTGAAATAGCCACATTATAGGTACAATATATGATAAAGTTAATTTAAAAAAGTACAACTAAACAATTTGAAAGATCTCCCTCAAAAACCTTGCATTTATCTTTTAATATATAGGTTATCTTTTTTACTGTCGTATTTAAAACCATTTCTTTCAGCCAGTAACCTATATTTGGTGTACATCCATTTTTCCAATTTAAAGAAATCATAGGTTTAGCTCGAAGAATACATCTATAATACACATTCAGTATTTTCTTTGATTTTCTTAGGGTATAAATGAAGTATATAGTTGACAGAAGATAGTTTGTGTTAAATTTTCACTTATGTCACCTTTACTCAATTACAAAAATGTCTATTTTTTTTTTAAGTGTGAATGTAATAGCAGATGGAAATGTGGCCTCCATTGTGGGATGTGTGTACTTACCTCATGAGTATAGACTCTTACTGGGACCCCAAAGGCACGGGCTAAGCCGAAATCTGCCAGTTTAATTACACCTTTATTGTCGATAAGCAGGTTCTGGGGCTTCAGGTCTCGATGCAGAACCCTGCGACAGTGGCAGAACAGAATCCCCTCCAGGATCTGATAAAGGTAACTCTACATAGACAACACACATCAGCACGGTTACTTCAAGATACACATTCAATACTATAGTATAGAATCCAAACACATGCCATTATAAAACATTGAGGAATGTAGTATTTATGTATTTCGGGGCATGAAAGGCACATGAAACAAAATCGTTGTATTTACAGTACCAAAAAAAAAAAAAAAAAAAAATAAATAAATAAAAAAAAAATATATATATATATATATATATATATATATATATATATATATATAAAATAATAAAAAAAATACACACCTTGACCAACATAGGATCCATGAATTCGCCTGATGGGATGGAGTCCAAATATTTCTTCAGATCCATGGACAGAAACTCAAAAACTAGATATAATTTGGATTCCTGCATCAGCACATCTAGCAGGCTGGGAAAAAGAGAAACACTTTATTTGTAAAAATAGTACATATACTGTCATAGTAAATATGAAAAACAAAAACTGTTTATACTATGATACTAGTAATATACATAAATGTAAACTAAATCAACTTATTAGGATGATTTCTGAAGCACTGAGACTGAAGACTGGAGTAATAATGGTATGTTAGATTGATTTCTGAGGAATAATGAGACTGAAGACTGTAGTAATAATGCTGAAAATTCATCATTTATAACAGACATTAATCTGTGGTAAGACTTCACAATAGTTTTTAATCAAATTAACAAAGCATTGGTAAGCATTAAAAACAGCACCCAAATTTGAGTAGTAGTTTATCAACCTACATACATTTTTAAACTGTGAACCCTTAATAGCATTTTAATGTCATCACACAATTCCTGATATAACAATATGCTGATCAATTTTTTTTGCGAGGTATATTAAATATTGTTAAAATATATTACTTTGTTGTGGGTGATGACATCAATTATCCTGTCATAACTATTTTTATTGTTCAGGACAAATATATTAAACCAAACACATTCCAATGGATAGAGAGTAAAATATAAAGCTGTATTAGACCAACCCGTCTTTAACCCACCACCACAGAGACAGGCATACAAACAGCACTTTCTGTACAGTAAATCTGATTGACTCTAAATTATTTGTTTTGTTAAACATGTAATGAAATCTGTCATACCGTACAACGTTTGGGTGCTGGAGCTCCTTGAGGAGGGAGATTTCTCTGACAGCAGTGCTGGGAACGCCTTCCTCCTCACTCTCCAGACGGATCTTCTTCATCGCCACCACCTGTCCTGTGGTTTTATTCCTGCCCTTATATACTACACCATACGTACCTAAAGAACACACACATATTTACATTAGACATTCACTAAAAACACTCTCAGTTTTATTATTTAGAGACTAGCTAAGAATAATAGTAGCTAATGTAAATGACAATAAGCACAAGATAAATCTTACCTTCACCAATTTTCTCTATCTTCAGATAGTCATCCATTTTCCCCAAACACTCTTTTTTGAAAAAACACAAAGAATAAAAAAAGTAAATTAATGACAGCATAACATGACATTTTCAGAATCATTTTTTTTAATTATTTTTAGAAAGAGGAAAAAAAGTCTGGATGCATAATGAAACTTTTCTCTTTATTTTCTTCATTAAACTTGTTCGTTTTTGCTTTAAACTAACTATCTAAAGCAATCAAAGTTACAGTGGATGTCAAATATACACATTATGTGTACCGTTAAAAGACTGACTGAACAGGTCTTAGCTTTTGGCGTTGACATCAAAATCACAACCATTAGATAAAATCCTTTTTCATAATTCCAAAGTCATAATTTTGTGCCTAAAAACCTCGTAACGTCAGACACGTTTTCATGAGAAAAATAAGTAACTTAGCAATGTGGCAACGGAAAATCAAGATGCAGCAGAAACTAGTGCTAAAATCAAATGATCAACCGTCTGTTTTATTTAGGACGTACATTTGCAACGTTAAAATTACATAAACAAAAACATCATTCAGTAAAGTTTACAGTATCAACTTACAGTTAAATGACTAAGTAGTTTTTGCTCAGTTGGGCCCAAACAACTTAATGTTACGCGATCAGAATCAAAATCGTTAACATAACAGTCAATCATCATCATGGATTTTTAAAAACTCACCTTTTCTGTAACTATATCTAATATGGATGAATATCAAACTGTCCTACGTCCAACAGAGTTCTCGAAATTTTAGAGGAATGAAAAAGCTTGCGGATGTTGTGTGTGTGTGTCCTGCTGAATTGCGAGTTCCTTGATTCAAACTGGCCGCGTGGACGTAATTCAAAAGCAGCCAATCAGCGCACTCAGTGGGACTTCAAAATCAACCAATCAGATGATAGAGCGGTTGGGAGCGGGAGGAAAGCGGCGTCTGTGTTGGATAATGTGCGCATGCGCGGCTTGTTGTATATTTAGTTCAAAGTAGTCCTTGTGCAGGTAGGAATAGCGATTTTTACGTTTTTGACAGACACTTGTTGCTGTATATCACTGGTAGTGGGTGTTCAGACGAAACATCTCTAACGTCCTTTAGTTACCCTAAAACCGACATTCTAGTTCATTGCGTTCGTTGCTGCAGTCTTGTGTCTTAAATGTCCTACATTTGTAACGACAAACAACAAACAAATAATGTAATTATTATATTGTGAGTCTCATACAATGGTCACATATTGATTTTGAGTGGTACACAGACGAGCACGCATGCATTACTCTTTTTGACGACTTGGTGTCACTGTTGGACTGTTCTTTTCAGTATTATTTAACCAGATCTCCAACAGATGCTAATTTATATTTACGTTTTTATTTGTTATATGTATATTATATAAAAAGACAGAGAGGGAGACACGTGTAAAATATTGTGTAGAAAAGCTACTTATTAGCTTTTATAATTGGACTATTATTATTATTAGTAGTAGTAGTATTCTAGTTTACATGGTTTGATTTCAGAAAGATTTGATGTGGGGTCACAAAGTGAAAAAACAATTTTTAATAAAGTTTATTTCCCCCCAACAGAACCATTTAAAAGAAGCTCTCAGAAGCCCAATGAAGCATAACTAGGCTGTCTAATTACAGAGAAATAAAGGAGGCTTAGTCCCCGGGATAAAATCTCAATTCCATCCTAAATTCTCAGAGGTAGAGACTTTAATTAAAGAAGTGATTAGTTACAAATTATTACCATGCATATTTGAGCCACTCTGATTGGCTGTAGGAATTGGGATAGAGGAGGTCAAACTAATTTTGGGTGTTTTTTTTAATCAATATTTTTAAAGAATGCTAGTATTCTGTGTTATAAGGGATGTGGTCATTATTCTGTTTTAGACCCTGGTATTTTTATCACCATGTTAAGATTTGTTTTATGATAATGACCGTCAGATTGCGTCAATTTTATGACACAGCGTCTTACCACATAAATAATAAATAGAAATATTGATTTGAACCTTTTTACACTGTTTAACTTTTTAAAAATTATTATTACTGAACATCGTTACATACCAATCTTGTTTTGGGGACATGAAAATATTTTTGAAAATGTTACCGTCTCAGTGTAAAATCTAGTAATGGGAGAAATTAAGTTTTTCAAAGCTTAGAAACAATTGAACCAATTGCTTCACAAAAGGATTGCCTGTTTTGAACCATTCAAAAAAGTGTCTGCATAATATGTATTGTTTTAACATTTTTTAAAGATTTGTTTGTACAATGGGTGTGCTAAACAGGACAACAAGGGACTATTAACTACTATTATTACTCTTTGTTTTACAAATGTTTCATTAAAATGTTTATAAACTTGTAAAACTGATTTGAGGTCAGGTGAATGTTTGAACATTTTTAGTGATTCACCACTGGGGGGCAATCTTGATGAGCCCACATGATTCATTAAAGAGGTGGTCCACAATGTATTTTTAAGGCTTGGTTGTGTTTAAGGGGTGCAAAGCAATCTGTGCTCATGCTTCATTTGTAGAAAATCACATTATTTTTTCATATATCTTACTGTAGCTATATACTGCTACTCAGCTAACCTGAAAATGAATGACGTATTTCCTAGTTCCGTTGAAAGGCCTGCCCCCAAGAGGCTCTGATTGGTCCGCTAACAATGTGCTGTGATTCACAGATCAGCTCCACATCATCAGGGAGCGTTTCTGTTATAACATTAGGCTCGTTTGAGGTGCGCCTCGCCTTGACTGCATTGTAAACGAGAGCAGGCGTGCGCAGTAAGAGGAGGGCTCAAAAATTACATCAGAAGTCGGACACCTGCCGAATCTCGCTGTTTAGCCACCTGGAAACGTCACCAGTGGAGGAGATCTCGTTCGCGTTTTTTATCGCAGACGAATGACCTCATGAAAAAATACTATGGTGATTTTTAGTAAATATTATAGCATTTTTTAACATGTTTATTCAGTATTGGGTTGTGTTTATAGTTGTTGTGATACCAGAACTATAAAATTTAAATAGGCTATTTTATAACATGGTCAAAAGTACTACAGTATACATTACTATAGTATTTTTTAATGTGGGAGTGGATGCAATAGAAATATCACTGTTGTTACAGAGATGGTCAGAATTACAGAAGATGAACAGCTCATTAACTAAAAGGGTGTATTTAAAATATAATTCTGTATATTCAACAAACGTTAAAAGAATAACTAAATAAACAGCTTATACAGCAAGAAAGCTTTCAAGAAACCTAATTTGGCTACATTAAAAATGAAGTAGGCATAGCATGCTTTTGAGTGACAGGTCATGACAAATGTTTGTTTGACAAATAAATTCTTAGGGGGTTAATTATATTGATATGCTTATTAGGTCTATATAAACTGCTTTTACTCCAGCCAGACTAAAATAAACAGCCCAAGACTTTCTCCAGAATAAAAACTATTAGACTGTAGGAAAAACTGTGGAAATGTTCTTGGTCTATTAAACATGACTTTTGACTCCACATACATATACATATGTGTGTGTGTGTCTTGTTTACTACACCCTTTTCACTTCTCATATGAAACCACACAAAAATGAGGCATAATGACAAAACAGTCTGATTATCTTTGTATTTCTGAATATATGTATATATTGGATTGACTTTCATTGAATAACGCTGCATAACAATTACAATACAAAATTCACACAAACATACAAAAAGTGAAAATGACAACAAACAGGACTTAAGACTGAGAGAGAAATAGAATACAGCACATGCACATCCTAATGATTTATTAATAACATTCATTTATATTGGATAGGTCACGTTATGTTTTACAAAGATGTGTTTTGTTTTTGTTTGCGTGTAAATCTAAATAAATAACCATATGTAATGCTCTTTATGACTTTTTTTAAATTATCTACGAAAATACAAAAAAGGTATTCAACAAATCCAGGTATAAACCTTAGTAAAACAAGATAATAAAGTGTAATGTGTCAGTCTCATCCAATCAGCATTCAGCTGTGTCGTCAGCCAGTCGTTTCCCATCATGCTTTTAGTGAGCGCAGTCTTTTGAGAGCAACTGCGGCCGACTGCTCTGTCCGAGGTACCCGCCTCGCGATCGCGAGAGTTTTTTGGCGCACGTCAGCGTGACATCAAAGCGAGGCGAAGGCAAGGCGGACACATTTCTAACCGGCATGCATCTTGCGGTGATCACCGGTGATCCATTCTGCGTAGATTTTGGCCAAGTCAAACAAGCCTATTATGTTCGTAACCTGAAGGGTTTATGACATCATTAACCCGGATGTATTTTTTTGTAGTCCCCAAACTTTGTTTGCTGTAGGCTTCACTAAGCTAACTCCGTAAAAGCTAATGTCTCCCTTTGCAATGAACTTTGAGCGTATTACATTCAGAGATGTTGTTTATGTTCACACAGCTACATTACACATCAACTAAAGTTTAAAATATGATATCATAGTGGACCACCCCTTAATGGTATTTTCACAAATCACCAGCAGAGACCTAATGAATTTTGAAACAGCAATGATGTAACAAAGCCCAGGTTACTAAAATCATGTGACCTTGCCTATTAGATTAATGCTCCAAACCACTGACTTGAAACAAAAGAGTCATAAAGATTTGAAAGCATCATAAAGCAGTGAAAAAAAACTAAATGGTTTTGTATTCCATGTTCTCTCTACATGTGCAAGTAAACTGCTAGGATTGATGTGCATGTTTTTTTATTTATTTTTTTAATGTGACATTGGCGTGTACTGGACTGGAGTGCTATTAGTTGTTTTATACATGTATGTGAACAATGAGGTTTTTTTTTAACCTTTTTATTGTCCCTGTAAAAAAAATAAACATAAATAAGTGTCTGTTTTTAATACACCAATAGCTGGATTTCCATCTTAACATGATGCAAGTCTTTTCAATGTTTGCAAAAGAAAAACAAAAAACAAATATAAATTGGGCACATTTCCATCAAGTTGTTAGAGTGGCTGACTATAGTATTGGTAACCTAGTAACCAAAAGTAAACAAGGCGAGCATGGGGGTTACAGCTGATTAAAAACAAGGGTGTAATGTTTGCTACATTAGAGTTTATTACTCAAGCTCTATTAGCGTCTCCCATTATACACATTTACACACTCACTTGAGGTGGTTTTGGATGTGTAAATGTGTATAATGCATAATGTATATATGTGTGTGTGTATATATATATATATATATATATATATATATATATATATATATATATATATATATATATATATATATATATATTTTTTTTTTTTTTTTTTTTTTTTTTTTCATTTGACTAATTTCTCATGTTATAGGATCTTCAAAATGCAGATTAACAGGGTGATTGAAGTCCAGCTATTGCCATGTTAATTTACCCAAAGATGTTAGTGTACTTTAGATTGTTTTACATAGGCCTTCATGGTCAGTGATGCAACTAGATGAAATAAGTTAAATATTTTATACAAATATTTACTTCAGGTTACTTATGTTTTGATTTAAGAAACAATGTTTAGAATTATTGTACACTACACACACACACACACACACACACACACACACACACACACACACACACACACACACACACACATATATATATATATATATATATATATATATATATATATATATATACACACACACACACACACACACACACACACACACACACACACATACACACACACATATTTAAACATTTACATATATGTCTATGTACCACATTAACCTTATTTGTTCTAGAAAGCATTTTAATATTGATGCCACACTCTGCATTCTGTCATTTAAAGCCCCACAGTTG